CACAGAATTATACTCCCATCACCACAATTTTTAGAACCTTTTTGTTGCACCCTAGAAAAACCCTATACACCTAACCTATCACCTCTCATTTCCTCCATTCTCCATACCCCAGCCCTAAGCAAGTACTAATGTATTTTCTGCCTTTACAGATTTGCCTATTCTAGACATTTAATATAAATGGAATCATGCAATATGTGTTTTTTTGTGACTTTTTTTCGCTTAGTATAATGTTCTTAAGAGTCATCTATGTGTAGCATAATCAGTTCATTCCTTTTTGTAGCCAGATAATATTTAATTGCATGGATATGGCAGTTTTGTTTCCTCAGTTGATGCACATTGGGCTGGTTTCACTTTTGTTTATTATGGATAATACTGCTGAGTATGGATACTGCTGCTGAATACTTCTGTGTATAAGTTTTTGTGTAGACACGTATTTTCATTTCTCTTGGGAGAATTCCTAGAAGCAGAATTGTTTGGGTCATATGGTAACTCCATGTTTAACTATTTGAGGAACTGCCAGATTATTTCCCACACTGGCTGCACCATTTGACATTCCTACCAGTGGTAGATGAGGGTTCCAATTTCTCCACATCTTCACCAACACTTGTTCTTATCTGTATGTCCTTATGAATGTGAAGTTGGTATCTCATTGTGGTTTTGATTTGCATTTCCTCTAATGACTAATGATGTGTTAAGCATTTTTTCATGTGCTTTTTTTTTGTTTTCAGAATTGACACATTTCTTTGCCAGAGATCTCTGATGATCTTTAGAAAGGTGGAAGATGATTTTGTTGTGTTGAGGCGTGAGTGGGAAGGAGCAAGGTGATTGCTACCCTTTTAGGAAGTAGGAGGATAGAGGGTATGCATGTTGAAGTGGCTAATTCTGCAAACAGACTTGGTGCAGACTTTTTTCTGGAGGTGAATTGATGAAGTCACAGCCATGAGCTGATGTTACTCTGGTTAGCAACAAGGTCTTCTGAGATCCACTGTATAGTCCCACTGTGTCCATTGGATGCACTTAGCTAGAGGACCCAGCTGTTAGAAGGTCTGGAGGTAGGCATCTTCTTAGCTCCAGCAACAACTTCTTGATCACTGTTAGTCTAGGGCTTCCTCATTAATTGTCTGGTCATTCCTGATGATCCTCCTTGTCATTTTGTGGCATCAAGACTCTCTGTGAGGATGGCTGTTCGTTATCCTCCTCATTGTCCACCTGTTACTGTGAGAGATAAAGGTGTCTCCTGAATAACGCTTTTGAAAAGTCTTAAGTTCTGTCATCTCAGTAGGAATTGTAGAGATGCAGTCTGTGATTCTCTATGTGTGCTGTGTGTATGCTGATATCGTTTCTATCATTTCAAGCTCTAAGTACCACTGGAGAAGAGAAGTTTCCTGGCACTTCTATAGTCACTTAAAATCTGGGCCCTCACTAATCAGAACTCTACTCTGAACTCCTCATAGCTAGGGATTTTCACTTCAAATTTGCATGTCTCTGAACTGGGATAATTTTACCTAGGCTGAGATTTTTTGGCCATCTCTTTGCCCCTGTAATACACCATCTGGATGTGTTGGACCCTCTCCAAGGCAAGGATGGAGAAGAAGCTTTCTACCTTCTAAGGAAGGCATCGTTCAGGTCCTAGCCCTTGATCTTTGTTTTAACTGCACAGCTTGAGCAGCCTATTTAGTAGGGTTAATTGAGGAAGTAGAGTGGGGCTTCCTGTCTGAAAGTGGACAGCTAATTCCTGCCAGTGATTCGGGCTCTTTACTAAAATAGTGAAAGAAAATCACCTTTTTTGATATAGCACCTCATTGGCTTGCCCTAGGAAAATTCCTTCAGCCCTGGGTAAAATTAAGTAATAAGTATGGGTTATTTAAAAAAAAAAAAAAAAGCCAATTCCCAAGGAGCTAGGTGCAGCATCTAGTTCGTAATGTGGCTTTCAGAGTGTTAGCCCCTTTGGGTAGAAATTCCATCTTGTTCACTGTTCAGTCACCAGGGCCTGATGACAGTTCATGCTCAATATAAACTTGGAGCGGAGTGGAGGAAGGAAAGAGGGCAGGTGCTGGTTGGTTGGCCTGCAGTTAGAAGGGCTGAATAAAGTCCTATAGTGCCCTAGGCAACATATTCACTTAGCAGATACTTTATTGTGACACTGTGGTCAGTGCCTTTCTCTGGGAAGGTGTGTGTTGGAGGAGGGGCTTCCTAGAGTATGTCATGGAGTCACACATAGAAACTTTAAACAATGCAAGGTGGACCGGTGTTTTTAACTCATAATACTCCTTTATTCCCTGTTTTAAATTTTTTTTTTAAATTTGATACAATAATTATACATAATAATGGAGTACAATGTGAGATTCAGTCCACATATACATTGTGAAATGATCAAATTAGGGTAGTTATCATGCACATCACCCCCAAATAATTATCACTACTTTTGTGGTGAGAACACTTAAAATTGTCTCTTTTAGAAATATACATTATTATTAACCATAGTCACCTTGTCGTGCAATAGAACACTAGAATTTATTCCTCCTAACTGTAACTTTTTACCTACTGACCACTCCCTCCCCATCCCCCTCTCTCCTCCCCCTCTCTCCTCCCCCTCTCTCCTCCCCCTCTCTCCTCCCCCTCTCTCTCCCCACCCCTGGTAACCACTGTTCTGTTATCTCCTATGATACCAACTTTTTAGCGTCAGCATGTGAGATTGTACAGTATTTGCCTTTCTGTGCCTGGATTATTTTATTTAGCATAATGCCCTTCAGGTTTATCCCTGTTGCTGCAAAAGACAGGAGTTCTCTCTTTTTTTCTGGTTGAAAAGTATTCCATTGTCAAAAGTGCTGTAAGACTAGGAAAGGAACACTGCAGGCTGGAGCCCTGGGGAAAGTGGTCTGAGGCAGGTGGGACTGGAGCTGGGGTTTGGCAGACAGGCTGGGTTTGATTGTCAGCATAATGGAGAGCACTCATGTGCCAGCTGGGTGGGAGGAGCAGCTGAGTGAAGACTGAGAAGCCCCTCAGGAAGCATGTGCAGGGTTTGTGGTGATGAGCAGACCAGCAGGTACGTAGGGGAAGAGGGGTGTGATGGGGCAGAGGAACTTATGTCATAGTATAAGACAGAAGTTGAGCCTCATTTTAATGGGCATTGTGGTGGTATTGAATAGTGATGGAATGTATGGGTCTGGAATCAGACTGCCTGGTCAAGGGCTCTGAAACTTGAGTGTGCATCAGAATCACCTCGAGACTTGTTAAAGTGTAGACTGCGGACCACATCTCCCCAGTTGCTGATTCAGTGGGTGTGGGTGGGGCCTGAAAATTCACATTTCTCACTGGCGATGCTGCCGTTACTGAGTTTGGGACCACGTTTGGAGAATCACTGGTCTAGAATTGAGAGGTTGGCAAATCTTTTCTGTTAAGAGGTAGGTAGTAAATATTTTAGGCCTTGTGGGCTACACAGAGTATCAGTTACATATTCTTTATTGCTTTTCATGACCCATTAAGCATATACATATCATTGTCTGCCATATACAAACAGGCTGTTGGGGGAGTGAGGATGACATAGGGAAGGTGGGGCATGGTTTAATAACCCCTGGGCCATTCCTAGATGGTCAGTCCTCTGCCACATAGCTGGCTGACCTTTGCCAAGTTAATCACCTTTTGCCTTTATTTTCTCATGCTTCTCATAAAACAGAGATGATAATATTCATACTTCTTACCATACAGAACTTCTGAGGATTCAGTGAGCTAAGCCACAAAAGATTGTGTGTCACAATGTCTGGGACATAGCTAGAATTTATAATTTATTTTTATTAATAGTAGTACTACCAACTACTGGTTACTCTGTTGATAGGCAAGGGGGAAACAGTAAGAGGCAGACCAACAGTGATCCAGGGCTCTGAAAGCTAATTACTTCAAGATCCTGCTACCATTTTCTTTTGGGCTACTTGCAAAGAAGAATCCTTTAAAGCATATATGTACACTTTGAAGTACATCCTGGGTTAGTCCCTTATATCGGGATGATTGCTCAGTCTGTCCCTTGAGTGGCACTTAGAAAATGGCGCTGTTCGTAAGCTGACTGGTATTGGGCCCAAGACTCTGGCTGAAGGGATGGGCATACTGGTAACCATTTGCAGCCTGTGCTCAGGTCCTACTTGTTGGAAGCCCTGATTGAGAAGAGTGGCCTGGTCTGTACTTGCGTTAGATAGGATCTGGCTGCATTAATATTGAAACTACTCTGCCTTTTAATGTCTCATTTTGCCTCATGGTGGGAGTGAAAGTGAGAACCACAGAAAATCTGCCTGCCAGGTGTTCCACATTTCTTGTGCTACAGCATGCAACTGAGCAGTGAGGTATAGCTTTCCCTCATGTAGCTGGGAAAGCGGTACCCCCGCTTGTACCTCTGGCATATCTTCTCTGTGCTGGTGCACCTAGAGAGGTTGTCTGGTGGCCCTGAGAGAGCCATCTCATCTCTAAACACTGATAGTGAAAGCTGGCCATGCTCAAATAAGATGGAGCAATCTACCTCTTCCTTGTTTAGTTACCCCCAAGGGGGCATCCACTTTCTTGCTCACCTCACCAGTTGCATGTTCTAGTCCTTGCCAGAAGCACATAATAATGACTTTGTAAGCTTAAGTTACAGGCACACAAAAGTACCTGATGGTGATATGACTCCACCCTCTGCTTGGGTTTTTGCTGACATTCAGTGAAATATCCTTCCATCTCCTCCCCACCTTGCAAAACAAACTTCCTGTTTTGAATTTGGTCCAGGCTGGAACAGCCCCACTACACCTGTTAACACACACAGACACACACTTTCCCCTTCATATTTGCTTAGCTTCTTGTTGCCTAGCCAGATTTCCCCTCAGCTTACAGATCCTGAATCATAAGGTATTGAACCAGGAAATTTAAGAGTTAACATTTTACTTAGAGGTATTCAAGTGAAAACATGGCTTCTGGTTTATTTTGCTGTATTGTGCCATGACTACTTTGCTAATTCTTCTCCTCCTTCACAGCAGAATGGAAGTGAGGAAAGGCAATCAACTGACACAGGAGCCAGAGTGAGACCAGCAGACTCTCACACTGAACCTACACCATGAATTTGTGTCTATCTTCTACGCGTTAAGAGCCAAGGACAGGTGAAGTTGCTGGAGAGCAATGGCTGTCTTTACTCCGTGGAAGTTGTCCTCTCAGAAGCTGGGCTTTTTCCTGGTGACTTTTGGCTTCATTTGGGGTATGATGCTTCTGCACTTTACCATCCAGCAGCGAACTCAGCCTGAAAGCAGCTCCATGCTGCGTGAGCAGATCCTGGACCTCAGCAAAAGGTACATCAAGGCACTGGCAGAAGAAAACAGGAATGTGGTGGATGGGCCATACGCTGGAGTCATGACAGCTTATGGTAAGCACTGTGTTTCTGGGATCTCTCCATTAAAGTGTGCCTTGGCCTTGAAAATGGCCCTAGAAGCTCCCAGACATGGTCTTGTCATGCCTTCATAAGCAGTGAATTGCACACAGAGAGGCATCTTTAGGAAATTAAAGCAGTGCCATTTTCATTGTTCTGAGCCTGGTGTATGCAGACACACTTTCCCCTGGAATCAGTGGGTTAGGACAGTTAGGGCCCTATTGGTTGTGTTTGCAGCTAGCTCCTTCTCCCTGAGCACATTTCAGGAACCCTGTGATCTCATGTGGGAGTGAGTTCAGGGAATGCTGAAAAATATTCTCATCGTTCCCTAAACAAAACTTAATTAAGGCTGGTGGGGGTGAGGTGAAGAGGATGGGGAGGAATGGAAGCCAGTAAACTTAGAGCCAATTGTGTGCCTCCCTCCAGCCGATAAGTAGGACACTGGCACTTGCATCCTGGTGAATTTTAATCTTTGGCTTCTTGAGGTTATGTTGCTCTTCTTCTTGCCCTTGTCTCTAATTGCCCTCACTTTAAAAGGAATCTTTGTGTACTTGTTGCTTTTTTTTAAAAGAATTTTTTTTTCAGAATTATTTTTGAAATCATAAAGAGTAAAAAATACACATATGGAATGTAACTTATTTTTCTTTTATGTTTAATACAGAAAAAGTTGGAAGCTGTAGACAAGCAAAAAAAGAAAAAAATTACACATAAGTCTACTACTCCAGGCAATAACCACAATTAACATTTCAGTGTGTATTTTTCTGATATTTTACATATACACACACAAAAATATATACGTATATACACAAATACAAAAAAATTGCAAATGGATTTTAGAATATGCTGTGTTTTGCAGAGCAGAATTGGTCTGTAGAAGATGACCTGTTGTTGAGTGAAAAAGTCTGATCATTGAATTGAGGTTTCAGTGGTCTCACTGAAGTGGTCTCCATGATAGTATAGATGAGATACAAGAATGGGGTTAGGTGAGGTGGAGAAAGTGGAGTTCTGTTTTGTGACCTACTCAAGGAAGGTGCCCTGAAGTATGCAGAGTTCAAATCGTGATTCCCAAAAATGTGCAGCAACAGTTCAGTGCAGATTGAGTTCAGACACAGGAAATCATACTCAGTTATACATGTACTTTTTTCTTTCCAAAAGGGGAAAAAAACTTGTTTTTAAAAATATGTAAAATTTTATACACACGTGTGTGTGTGTGTGTGTGTGTATATATATTTATCTAAGGAACATTGTAGAAATTCTTTTCTAGTTCTTACTATGTAAATAATCATACTCTGCTTTTAATCTGTTAAAAGTGTAGGCATTGGCTTTTAATATATCTAAATAAAATGGTACCTTTTTTGAACTGATGGATTTAAAAAATGGGATTCGACTGTGGGAACTTACACTGAAAAACAACTAGGTAGTTTTTCCTAGAGTTGCATTTTAAAATTGCTCATTGACTCACACTTCTGTAACGTTTCCAGAGTAGTTGAGATAAACCAACAGAAAATAAAGTTGATTGTCACCATTAGTGTTACCAATGTATATAATGTAGCAGGTAACACAGGTACAGTTTTAAAGTTTCTGGTTTGTATGCATTTCATGTTATAGCTTTGAAGGGAAAGAGTTACAGCTCAGTGGTAATTTTCTCTTGTTTCTCTTAGTCTGTCAAACCTTTTCTATGGCCAAGAAGCAGCTCCACAAATAGCAAATTTGTAGGCTTTAAATTTCTCCAGTTGTTTTGGCTGTTTTTATTTCTTGTGTACTGCTAAAAATCTCATAGGGAAGGCTTCCCTACTTAAGGACAATAATTTGGTCTTAGCTTTTCAGCCTCACAGAGATATTATTTTTTAAGTTACAAAAAAATCTCAGAATAGGCTGTTAGAATTTCAGCCACCCTATATGCTTGTAATCATAGGACTTTGCATCTCAAAGAAACTATAGAAATTATTCATTCCAACTTACTTTTGTAGATGAACCTTAGCAAAATAATTTCTTTTTCTCAAAAACAACAAAGAAACAATCAAACAGGTCACGTGAGCAACTCTAACTCACACTGCTAGTTTTCTCTTTCTTCTAATCAACTTTAACATATCAAAGTGGTTTTGGGAGCTGAGTTTCTGGAATTTAATTGGATTTGTATGCATGTGCTTGAGGTATTGGGGGTTATCACATGGTGAGATCCTCCTAAGACACGGTGTCTCATTTGGTGCTATTGACATTTTGGTCTAAATAGGTCTTGATTGTGGATAGGATTTCAGCAGCATCTCTGGGGTCTCTACCCACTAGATGCCAGTAACAGCTCCCTAGTTGTGACAGTCAAAATGTCTTTAGACATGTGATAATTGTCTCCTTCCTGCCACCTTGGAGAACTGTACTAAGAGTGGAAACCACAAACGCCATCTGACATCATCTTTTTAAGGATGTTATCAAGCAGATAACTGGTTTTAGGTTTTTTGTTTGTTTCTGAGATAGTGTCTTGCTTTGTTGCCCAAGCTGGAATGCAATGGTATGATCTTGGCTCACTGCAACCTCCGCCTCCCAGGTTCAAGCCTCAGCCTACAGAGTAGCTGGGATTACAGGCACACACCACCACGCCCAGCTGCTTGTTGTATTTTTAGTAGAGACGGGGTTTCACCATGTTGGCCAGGCTGGTCTCGGACACCTGACCTCAGGTGGTCCGCCCGCTTCGACCTCCCAAAGTGCTGGGATTATAGGTGTGAGCCACCGTGCATGGCCTGATTTTAGTTATTTTAAACTTGAAAGCCTAGTCTTACCCCTGGTTTCCAGTTCTGGCACCAACAATGTGGATTGAACGAGAGGATCGTACTAGGGATTAGTATAGTCCAGGGCCAGTCCTAGAAGCTGGAGAGCCATTCTGATGACATATGCTTCCCTTGGAATCTGTCAGTATCAGTAACATTGTGTGACATGCAGGCAGCCCTGGCAGTTAATGTCACATGGTGGTCCAGAGAATGTAGGATTCTTAGTAGTGTAGCTGGGCTGGCAGAACGGTGTTGGGGATGCATGGGCCATTAGTTTGCAGTCTCTCTTTTTTTTTTTTTTTGCCATAAATGCAACCTATGTGCAGTGCACTGCCTACACATCTGCTTTGAAAGAGTGAAGAGCTGATCCTGTATGGCTGGGATTTGTGTCTGGTTTAAATGAATCCAGCAAAATGAAGAAAAAAATTCCTTCTTTCTCTCATCCCCATATTGGTATAATCAGAGGCTTTCAGGATAAATGGGTCTACAATAGGTATTTGAGGGATTGTAGTAGCTGATTTTAGATGATTGCTGATTTATTAGAATTTCTGGTTAGAGATTCCAGGGCAGCAGGGCTCAGTGAACTATGACCTGTGCTCTAAATTCAGGACCTTTGTCTGATTGTGTAAATAGTTTTATTGGAACACCTCCACTCCCACTTGTTTGTAACAAATGCAATAACAGATAAACATGATAATTCCAGTATTTATTTCATAATACATCTGAAACATTCCGAATCCATCGATCAGCAGTCACCATAGTTATTCTAAATACTCATCTGATCAAGTTCCTTATTGATTCAGCTACTTCCCAGGACTCCCATGGTCTAAGGCAGAGTCATCAAACCATGGCCTATGGGCCAAGTCTTCCTTGGTACCTGTGTTTGTAAAGAAAGCCATGCCCATTTGATTACATGCAGTCTGTGGCTGCTTTTGCACTATAATGGCAGAGTTGAGTAGTTGTCATACAGACTGCAAAGCCTAAATATTTACTGTCTGGTTCTTTACCAAAAATGTTTATCAGTCTCTGACTTAGTCTCTTGGTGAGTCTCTCTATCTACTGGATTTTGTGGGTATGTGTGTGTCCCAAGTCTCTTTCATGCTTGTGTTAAGTTGCACATATATAAATGCAGCATTTCTCTAGCCTCTGAAAATGCTTCTTCTAAGTGGCAGGTCGAGAGTTGTAGTGGTTAGGAGCATGGGTTTTGGAGCCAACTGGTTTGTCTTTGCCACATCCTGCCTGCATGACTTAGGCCCTAGAAGCACAAAACTGCGTGAAAGTGGGGTGTCAGTGCCTCTCACCAAGGACTGTGAGACATGAGCAAGGTGCTGCGTGTCAGGTGCCTGACATTGTGTGCTTATTGTTGGCTGTTAGTGTGGCTTGTGACTAGTACTCAATAATAGAACTTGAAGAATATCTTCCCTGCCCCAACCTATCCTTGTTTTGGTGATTTTAAGAGACTTCTGAACTTCTTTGGGATTTGGCAACTCCAAAGTGATACTTGGAAGATCTCCTGGGCAGCCTGTGTGGAACATTCAGTGCATTTGTTATTGGAGTGTGGAGGGCTTTTCTGTGTATTACTCTGTCAGTCTAGAGAGGAGTGTGTTGGCTTTTGCCTCCCAGGCAAGTATAGAGCCAGAGCCCTCTGCATCTCCCAGCCAGTGTGGCAGGGGCCATGCCTGCCAGTGACGTCTCGGGAATTGTGTCATGGATGGTGCCACTCACTCGAGTCAATGCGATTCTTGTTTCTGAGGTGAATTGATCTCTGTCTCCAACAGCCTGACCCAAATTCTGATCCCTAGTGATACCTCTTATCTAACTGGACAGACCCGGTCCACTTGTGTTCTCTAATGAACAGTAATGGAAACCTGAGGCGAGGTGACATTTCCCTTCATGGTCCATCCACACCTTGTTAACCCTGGCTTCTCTGGGCTGGGGCACTGTCCTAGAAAAGCTGCCAGCTCAGGCTCAAACAGCTGTGGGCTCCCAGTTTCTCTCTGCTGACCCCCATCCCACTTGCCTGCTGCCTGTTTCCTCCTTGACCTCCCGGTTCTGTGTGCCTGCTCTTCCCTACCTTCTGCCTGTCTCCTGGTTCCCTGAGCTTTTTAGTCCTAGACTGGCCCTTTGGCTTCTGTTTTTCAAGCCTGGTCCTTCAGGAAATGTCTGTCATTGGCTGGACTATCCCCCACATTTTGTGCATACAGTGAGAAACAGATGGACAAAGGCCCTGCTCTC